ACAATATTTTCTTTTATGAATTATGCTTTCTGTAATACCTCAATAATCTTTGCCCAACTCAAGGTCACAATTATTTTCTCCTACTTCTATTTCTTTAGTTTTAACATTTACATTTAGGATTCATTTTAAGTAATTTTTTTGTATATGTTTGTGAGGTATGGGTTGGGGCTTATTTATGTATTACATATGATGACCACCTGTCCCAACACACACTATTTGTTGGAAAGAGCATCCTTTGCCCATTAAATTGTCTTGGCCATTTGTGAAAACTTAATTGATCATATATGTATGCACTTCTAGACTCTCCATTCCATTCCACTGATCTATTTGTCAATCTTTATGCTAATATCACACTTAGTTACCATAGCTTTGTACTAAGTCTTGGAGTCAGAATTAATACTTTGTAATAAGACTTTGAGTCAGACAGAAAATTTTTCTTTTCAGTTATTTTGGCTATTCTAGATCTTATGCATTTCCTTATGAGTTTCAGATTTAACCATAAATTTCTACCAAAAAAAAAAAATCTTTCTGGAATTTTGATTGACATTACACTGAATCTACAAATCAATTTAGGAGAAGTGGCATCTTAATAGTTTTGAGTCTTCTAATCACTATAAACATGGTATGATCATGCCATTTACTTAGGTCTTCTTTGATTTCTCTCATTAGGATTTTTGTAGTTTTCAGCTTCAGATCTTAGAAACATTAGATTTACACCTAAGTATTTTATGTTTTTTGTTGCTATGATAAATAGTGCTTTTAAATTATTATTTCCAATTTCTCATTGCTAGTACAGAGAAGGGAGCTCTGGTAGCGTAATGCCTATGGCACTTGACTGCTAACCAGAAGGCTACCAGTTCAAACCCACCAACCACTTCTCAGAAAGAAGGTTGGGCAATCTACTTCCATAGTGATACCACCTCAGAAACCCAAGGAGAGCTCGCTATGAGTCAGATCCAACTCGACGGAAGTTTGTTTGTTTGTTTTTTTAAACGTGTGTGTGTGTGTGTGTGTGTCTATTTCTCTAGAGGTCTATGGAGAAGAGTGTACAACTCCTCTTGTATCTCTAGCTCCCAGTGGTTCTACACCTTTAGCAAACCACTAAAAAAATTTACCAAATTCTTCTTATCTGCCCGATGTCTCTTACACCTGTGCTCTGGCACAAGTGACTCAGTGCTTATGTCTTGACTATTTTTTAAAGAGTCTGTTTTCCCTTGAATTTCAGGCCACTTAGTTGCTTTGCATCCTCAACTCTCTGATGGGTTTAAATAATGTTTTGATTTTGCAGTTTATCTGGCATCTTAGTATACTTAGGATGGAAGCAACATTTTATTCTTTCTAGATCTTAGGTAGAAACAATCCCCAAATTCAGTAACATTTTAAAGTGATTTCTATTTTATTAACCAACAATAGCATGGATTTATGGAAGACTTAGTCCATCCCCTCCCCATCAGAGATTCATCCACATGGTTTTCAAATCATTGTCATACCTTAAAAGAAAAAACAAAATCAACTTAAACTTTTAAATGTGGTTTTGAAATTGCTAAAATTTAAGTTATAATTATGACAGTTATGGTAATTTAGCTATACTTAAAATACAAAGGCAAAAAAATTTACTACTTTATTAAAGAACAAAAATGATTTCATTTGCACACGTGGTGTATTTTGCTTCTAAATATACATAAAGTTTTGACTTTCTTAATTCTCACATATTCAAAGTCCCCATCATAGTCGGTGAAGTATGCAATATATATATACATATATATATATATATATATATATACACATATATATATATATATATATATATATATAAAATGTTATTTACTATGATGTCTTAAAAGTGAAAAGAAAAATAGTATATTTTAACATACTACTTTATAGAATTGAATTGTTCCTGAGTTCATAGCAAATAAATGCATTTGAAACTAGTCTTTCATTTGTACTGAAGAAAGTTAACTTGCACAGTAAAAGAAGCATTAAAAGTTAACTTGCAAAGGAATAAACCAGAAATGACTCATTAAAATCACTTACTTAAAAAAGTTGTTTTTCCTATAAAACTATTAGAAACATCAAGGAGGACACTGAACTAAGTAAGTAGTATCATGTGGTCAAAAATATACCCTATGAATGCAAATGAAAGCGTTTTTCACTCTCAGATTCCAAAGATAGTATGTAAGAACAATCAATTCAATCCCTCTCCTCTATATTCAATTCTGAAAATAATAATCAAAGGGGGGATGGGATAAGGATTTTATCAATTTACTGGCAGTACAGTGGTGGAGTCTACGTCTTCAGTCAATTTTTAATAGGTTATCGTTGAAAGAGTTGCTACTGCTAATAAATTCCCTGAGTATACACACACATTAAACCACTATGCACTTCAAAGTAAAATGCATAATACTTCCCTTTGAAATACGCATAATCTGGGCACAAGTACTCTTAGAAACGTTTATCTGCCAGAAAAGACATGGTTTTTATTCCCTTATAAGGTGAACTTCCTTCAATACCTTCACAACTCCTATGTATGAAAACCAAAAAAACACAAACTCATTGCTGTCGAGTCAGATCCGACTCATAGTGACCCTTCCCTGGGTTTCCGAGGCAGTAACACTACGGAAGTAGATTGCCCAATCTTTCTTCCAAGGAGTGGCTGGTGGGTTTAAACCACCAGCCTTCTGGTTAGCAGTGAAATGCATTAGGCACTACGCCGCCAGAGCTCCTTCAAGGCTACCCAAAGTCCCGAGAGCCCCCAAAGATTATTTTGGTGCTCTGGCTCTCCATTCTCTACAACTGGCAATGTCTCACAGCTTCATCAGAGTGAAAAATAAAACCCACAACACTTACAGAAAAAAGTCACGATTGACTATTTGCCAGGATTATAAAATTAATTCAAGAAATATTCATTATGGACCAAATGAGAGAAAATGAAAACAAAAACAAAAACACCCAGAGACAAGACATCTAAAAGTAAAGAATTCTCATTATATATTTGTTCAAATTCAGGACAAGTATAAAACTATCCTCCGGTCTTCTAATACTGAATTAGATGTAAAATTAAATGAAAAAAATTGAAATGTATTAGCCCAACTTTTCTAAACCTTTTCTAAATAAAACTTTCTACTGGCCCTTGATTTCTTTTGCTTCTTTTATAACTTTTATTGACTTATTAAATGTCAATTGAACATTATTTAATGCAATTTTTGTAAGCCAGCAAAAATTTAACTATTGACATCTTTTGTTTAGACATTTATATGGGTGGAAATCAAAACAATATCAAATTCCTAACAAGAGATATTTAGTCTTAAAATCTCACCAAAGGTGTTTTCTGATCACCTGAGAAGAAATGATCATTTTATTAGCTACAATATCCCATGAGGAAGTAAAACTCATTTATAATACTAAGAAATAAGTATGTTTTAAAAAACTGAATTAAATAAACAGACATTGTTCATGAATGGTAACGCTGCTGTTGGTTACTGTAAAGTCATCCTGACTCATGGCAACCCCATGTGTGCAAAGTAAAACTTCTCCTTAGGGCTTTCAAGGCTGAGGCCTTCTGGAAGTCGACTGCCAGGCTGGTCTTCCTGGTGGGTTCAAACAGTAAATCTTTTGGCTAGTAGTTGAGTGCTTAACCACTTGCACCACCCACGGATTCCTTGAACAGTAATAATATTCGATAAAAGGACATCAAGTCAGTCCTGATATTATCTTAGAAGCATTTATTTGCTATATTTATATACGGTCATGATTAATTTTCAGGTTACCATAAATAGAGTTCCAGAGGCAATTTTCCAAAGGATTCCAAAACACCACATTAATATTCCTGTTTTAATATTGCACAGTGGTTAAGTGCTCAGGTGCTAAATGAAAGGCCAGTGGTTCAAACCCAACAGTTGTTACATGGGAGAAAGATGTGGCAATCTGCTCTTGTGACAATTAGGGCCTTGGAAACCCTCTGTTCTATAGGGTTGCAGTGAGTCAGAATTGACCTGACAGCAACAGGTTTTAGGTATAAGGATTAGGTTAAAAAACAAGGAGGGCAAAGTTATGAAAAGTTAGAGCAAGGAAGAAAAGAAAACAAAGAGAAGTGTAATATTAAACTTCATATGGAATAATCTTAGACTATCTTGCACATTTCCTCATTTAGGTTTTTCCTAAAATACCAAATGCATAGTTAAACAGCGCATTTGGTAATATGTATTCATTCAAATAAGTATTATTTAAAAATGAAAGAAAAACCCAGCTATAAAAACAAAGAAAAACATCCACTATTCAAAATATTCATGATACTTCTTCCTGGATTGTGGCTAGAAAGTTTTTGAACAGAAGAGACCTTAGTTTCTACTGCTGTATTTCAGAATTTAGGCATATGACTGTATAAAATTTAAATTACCAAGTAGAAGTCAAACACAGCACAAAGTCAACAGCCTTTGCAGAAACAAAGACATCATAAAAATATTTTAATGCTAATGGTGAAACTAAAGTGCAACCACACAATTTTGATAATCAAACAGCTCATTCGTGTAACAGCATTTAGCATGAGAATTGTTTTCTGAGTTGCATCTATTGGTCAACATCACCACACAGCACCAAATAGCCTTTACGAAGTACATTAACAGTTATAATCCCTGACTTTAACATTATAATTTAAAATAGACAACTATGATATGCATTTGGATTAATATAAGACAAAAAGACCCTGACATTCAGTTGTACAAGAATCAAATAATAAGATTCAAGGAAAAACACTGTTGTTTTTGTAAAGCTGAAAGAAAACACATTAGAAATAATGTTTATTGGTAAAAAGAATTAACAAATATACAGTCAAATATGATACTAAGTTCTTCATTCAAATGGTCTAAATGAGAGAAAACAAAAACAAAAAGATCTAGAGACAAGGGTAAGACATCTAAAAGCAAAGAATTCTCACTATATATTTGTTCAAATTCAGGACAAGTATCAAACTATGAATATTAATACATGAAAACAAGTCTTACCTTGTTGCTGTGAAAGTGAAATATCAGATTTACTTTTTACACGTATTAAGCGACTTTGTGCTGGTTTGTGTTCAACTTGTTTGTGTTCAACATCCTGGTCTTTCTTTTGTTGGTACTAAATAATTTAAGACATGAAATAATCTTTAAGTTACTTTTTAAAACAATCTAAGCAGTTGATTAAATTATTTGTTTCAAATTATATATAATTTGAAAATTATCGATATCTTCTTATCATTTAGTTACTTACTGGCACTTCTACTATTATAAAAGAAAAGATATTGTAAATAAAATCTTAAAGATTTAGATAATAGACATAGATACAAAATGTTCAAGTCATGTCTGCCTATTTTATTAAGAAGTCAGAGCTATTTATAAATCAAACTATTCTAATGTACACATGATGGATTTAGACAGGATAAAAATTGAATCATTTCTATTCAGCTATTAGCTCTTCCACAGAGAACTATTTTTGCATAAAATGAAAATTTGCATAATGTACTACAATTTTCAAAGAGCTTTCATATACAGTAACATCATTTACTTGATGTTCTCACAAGTGTGAGTTGGTATTGCTATCATTTTACCATCCTAGAAGCTTATGCTCTACTCTAAGTCCCTCATCTCTCTTCATCTATAACCTAACCAGATTTGAAATTTTCAGTAGCCACAAATTCCTTCACATTCACATCCCAAACTGTAGTGGCTTTAGCTCTTTCCTTCCCTTTTTTAAGAACCTGATTATGAATGAGACCCTGAAAACAATAGTATACTTTAACAAGGACTTAAAAAATCATCTTTGAATTCTCATCAATAAATATAACCAAAGAAGAATCTGAAACACTTGGCCTCATGGACTCAAATGTAGCTATTCCAGGTATGGCAGGCAACTCTATCACCAGAAAAAAATGAGTAAGTTTAGACTGCAGTAGCAACAACTAGCCTTAGAGCCTTAGTCATGTAGATTTCTGCCTTAAAGTAATTATATTTTGATGTGTATTTCTGAGATAGGTACTATGACTATCTTTGGGTCCTGTGACTTAAAGCCTTCCTATAGCTCTCCTCCTTAACCACAATGGAAATTAAGAATTAGTAGACTTCTGGAGCTGTACTGCCTGCATTCAAATCTATTTTCCAGCTTTGACCTTGGGCAAGTTACTTAACCCCTCAATGCTCCTATTTCCTTATTCATAAAATGGGAATAATACTAACAACCTCATTAGGTTGTTACAAGGATTAAATGAGTTAAAATGTATAAAAAACTTATATAAATGAGTTAAAATATATAAAAAACTTAGGAAAGCATCTAGCAAAGCAAGCACGATAAATACATTTGTACTGTTTTATTACTTAGAGAAGAAAGATGTGGTTGCCTGCTTACGTAAAGACTGTTGTTGGGTGCCATCAATTGGTTCCAACTCCTAGGAACCCTATGTACAGCAAAATGATCCTGTGCCATCCTCACAACTGTTGCTATGTTTAAGACCATCAGTACAGCTACTGTGTCAATCCACCTCATTGAGTCTTCCTCTTTTTCTCTGATCCTCTACTTTTCCAAGCATGATGTCCTTTCTCCAGGGACTGATCCTTCCTCATAACATGTCCAAAGTATGTGAGACAAAATCTCATCATCTTTGCTTCTAAGGAGTATTCTGGCTGTTATTTCTTCCAACACAGACTTGTTCATTCTTCAGGCAGTCCATGGTACGGTCAGTATTCGTCGCCAACACTGTAATTCAAAGGCATTGATTCTTCTTCAATCTTCCCTATTCATTATTCAGCTTTTACATGCATATGAGGCAAATGAAAATACCAGGGTTTGGGTCAGGTGCACCTTAGTCCTCACAGTGATATCTTTGCTTTTTAACACTTTAAAGAGGTTTTTGCAGCAGATTTTCCCAATGCAGTATGTTGCTTGATTTCTTGACTGCTGCTTCCATGGGCATTGATTGTGGATCCAAGAAGAATGAAATCCCTGGCAACTTCAATCTTTTCTCCATTTATCATGCTGTTGGTCCATCTGTGAGGATTTTGTTTTCTTTATGTTAAGCTATAATCCATACTGAAGCCTTTGATCTTCATCAGTAAGTGCTTCTAGTCCTCTTCATTTTCACAAGCAAAGTTGTGTTGCCCGCATATCCAGGGCAGTAGTGAGTCTTCCTCCAATCTTGCTGCCATGTTCTTCATATAATACAGTTTCTTATTATTTGCTCAGCATACAGATTGAGTAAGGATGATAAAAGGATACAATCCTCATGCACACCTTGCCTGATTTTAAACCACATAATAGCTCCTGTTCTGTTGAAACTGCCTCTTGGTCTATGTACAGGTACCTCATGAGCACAATTCAATGTTCTGGAATTCCCATTCTTCAAAACGTTATCCATAATTTTTTATGATACATATAATCAAATGCTTTTGCACAGTCAATAAAAGACAGGTCAACATCTCTCTGGAATTCTCTGCTTTCAGTCAAGATCCATGTGATACAGCAATAAGCCTCTTGTTGCACATCCTCTTCAGAATCTGGACTGAATTTCTGGCAGTTCCCTGCTGAAGAACTGTTGTAATTGTTTTTGAATTATCTTCAGCAGAAATTTACTTGCATGTGATATTAATGACCTTGTTTGATAATTCCGTTGGGTCACCTTTCTTTGAAATGGGCACAAATATGGATCTCTTCCACTCAGTTGGCAAGGTAGCTGTCTCCAAATCTCTTGACATAGATGAGTGCATGCTCCCAGCATTGCTGAAACATCTCAATGGCTGGGTGTGGTAGTTAAGGTTGTTGTCAACTTGGCTGGGACTTGTTGAGTGGCTGGGCAGCTGGATGCAGTTATTCCCCATGGTGAGACTGGTAATCAATTCCATGGTGGAATCTACCGGAGCAGCTGAGTAGCTGCTTTAGGGATGTGGTCTGCTTGTAGTATATAAGAAGCAGCTTTGAGGAAGGTCTCCAGCTTTTTGGCACGCTTGAACCCTGCATGTAGCCAAGTGGTTGTTCAGCTGTCTGCCATGTCCTGCCAATCTTGGGATGTGGCCTGCCATGTTGTCTGGTAACACTGGGACTGTGCCTTTTTACTTGTCAACCTTGGGCTTGTCAGCCTCAGCAGCTGGCAGCTGTCTGAGTGAAGAAAAGCCTCCAGCTTCAATAGGCTGGGAGCAGGAGGCCAGAGCTGAAGCCCAAGGTTGAGGGGCTTTCACCCAGCTACTAGTGCCTGGCACTCTGAACTTGGACTTAAAGCCTCCGAACTGTAAGAGAATAAACCCATTTCTTAAAGCCTTACCATTTGTGGTATATTCCTGTCAGAGAGGCACCAGGTAACCAGAACAGTGGGTGTTTCGCCATTTCCCAGAGCCTTATTTTTCACCAATATCTTCAGTGCAGCTTGGATTTCTTCCTTCAGTACCATCAGTTCTTGATCGTATGTTGCCTCCTGAAATGGTTGAAGGTCAACCAATTCTTTTTGGTACAATGACTCAGTGCATTCGGTTTTTTTTTTTTTTTGATGCTTCCTTCATTGTTTAATATTTTGCCCATAGAATCCTTCAATATTGCATCTCAAGGCTTGTATTTTTTTCGTTAGTACTTTTAGTTTGAAAAAAATGCTGAGTATGTTGTTACCTTTTGGTTTTCTAACTCCAAGTATTTTGCACATTTCATTATGATACTCTGTCTTGCTGAGCTATTCTTTGAAATCTTCTGTTCAGCTCTTTCACTTCATCATATCTTCCATTTGCTGTAGCTACTTTCCTTTCTAGACCAAGTTCCAGAGTCTCTATTGACCTCCACGTTGGTCTTTTTCTTTCCTGTCTTTTTAATGACCTTGTGCTTTCTTCATGCATGATGTCCTTGATGTCATCTCACAATTTGCCTGGTCTTCAGTCTTCTTTGTTTAATGTATCAAATGTATTCTTGAGATGGTGTCTAAATTCAGGTGAGATATATTAAAGGTCATACTTTGGCTCTAGTGGACTTAAGTCTTTCCTTCAGTTTCAACTTGAAACTTGCATATGAGCAACCTATGGTCTATTCTGCAGTCATATCCTGGTCTTATTCTGGCTGATGACATTGAGCCTCTCCACCATCCCTTTTCACAGATGTCAACTTGATTCCTGTGTATTCCAGAGAGGTCCAGGTGTAAAATTGCCATTTATGTTGTTGAAAAAAAGTATCTGCAATGAATAAGTGGTTGATCTTGCCAAATTCTATCATGCCATCTCCAGAGTCATTTCTATCACCAATGCCTTATTTTCTAACTACTGATCCTTCTTTGTTTCCCACTTTTGCATTCCAATCACCAGTAATTATCAAAGCATCTTGATTGTATATTTGATCAACTTCAAACTGCAGAAGTTGATAAAAATCATTAATAACATCACCTTTGCCATTAGTGCTTGGTGGTAAATTTGAATAATAGTCATATTAAGTGACCTGTCTTTCAGGTGTATTGGTGTTATCCTATCACTGATAGTGTTATACTTCAGGATCCAAAACCAAACTCACTGCCATTGAGTCAATTTGACTCATAGTGACCCCTCCTTGGTTTTCTCTATGGAAGTAAATTGCCCAATATTCTTTCCGAGGAGTGGCTGGTGGGTCTGAACCATCAGTCTTCTGGTTAGTAGTCAAATCCCTCAGGCACTATACCACTTCAGGATAGATCTCAAAATACTCTTTTTGTTGATGAATGCCACATCATTCCTTTTTGTGATTCCTAGTATAGTACACTACATGATTAATTCTAAATGGCCAATACCAGTCCATTTCAGCTCATTAATGCCTAGGATATCAATCTTTGTGTGTTCTGTTTCATTTCTGATGACTTGTAATTTTCCTAAATTCATACTTTGTATATACCACATTCCAGTTATTAATGGATGTTTGCAGTTGCTTCTTCTCATCTTGATTCATTCCATATCAGCAAATGGAGGTCCTCAAAGCTTTACTTTGAGGGGGCAGTTCTTCCCCAGCCACATTTTGAGTGCCTTTCAACCTGAAGGGTTCATCTTCTACCACTTTATCAGACAATGTTCCATTGCTATCCATAAGGTTTCTGCTGGCCAGTTTGTTTAGAAGTAGATTGTCAGGTTCTTCTTCTTAGTCTTTCTTAGTGGAAGCTCCACTGAAGCCTGTCACCACTGGCAACCTTGCTGTATCTGAAATAGCAGATGCATAGCTTACAGTATCACAGCCAACCCATAAGCCACCACAGGAGGACAAACTGATAGAGCAGAGTGGTACCCATAAAGATTACAGC